AAGGGCATATCCCGCAGGGGTTTTTAAGCAAGGTGTAATGTTCAGACAGGTGACAAATTACAGGAAAAACCTGAGTGTCACTGGATGAGATACAGCATTTCAAAACTGACTTTATTTTAAATGTCCATATCTTTTTTTGAAATTATTTAAAATAGCACAAAATATGCTTTTTTCCCCCCAACATAAAACTCCAAACATGGTGTCAGGTCCGCTCGGCGCAACCTGCCTCTCTTTCTTTTTCCCTCTCCCGCTCTCCCTTTTTGCGGGATCAACGCCTCAGCTGTGTCGCATCGGGTAATTAGTGACTCGTGGGACAATACTTACCCTATGTAAGTTAAAAGTTTATGTTTGACCCGCATTTTTAGACGTGTGTAAGATGCTACGCTGACAGTCTCTGTGCGTTTTGGCTTGACCTTATGACGCTAATTATGCGGTTAGCAACACTTAAATACGTGCTTTGTCTTCCACGCTGACAGTCTCTGTGCTGTGGATTGCATTGTTTACGTTGGTTCTTTTTGTTCACCTGTCCGTTCTCATCCTCCTGCTATCCTAGTTCCTGTCGTTAGTTTGTGTGTTTACCGTCCTGGTCTCCTTAGTCATCACTGCCCTTCCCTTGTTGTATGTATTATGGACCCTGTTTTGTTGTCATGTTGTTTTTATTCTATTAAACCACCTTTTTTTTTACTAGCACCTGGGTCAGCCATCTTGAGTCCAACCCCAGTTCTCCCTCACCCTCCAGGTGAGGGGGACTAAACCTTAACACATGGAGACTTCAGTTTGGTTAACCACTAATGCAGCAGGGTGCATGTTCAATGAAAACCTTTACAATATATTGTACATGAGATGAAATAGTTAAGTGCCAGTATGGCTTAGACAATTTGAAATCTTGTTGAAGCTGTGGCTTTGGTGAGGGTTTTTTTTTCAACAGGAATTATGAGTGCTACTTGTACCAGCATCTTCCAGGCTCTGATGCAGTGGAAGATCAACAGCTTATTTAAGGCAATAATTCAAAAAGAACAATACATTTCTGTCACTTAAAAATCTCACATCTCCAGTTTGGTGTCATTTTATTCTATAATCATTTATGCACTGAGCTCCATAATTCCTGTTCATTTTGAAATGCTGGTAATTACAACATAAGTCAAGGTTTGATAGATTTTCGAGCTGTAAGTGATCCATCTAACAGAGGTGATATCTGGGAAAGGTCACATAAATCATTCTTTGTTTGGAGCTTGGTGACACATTATCCAGGCCCTGTGGAATAAAGTTTCTATGGGTGTGACAAATTTTCAGCCCTAAAATGTATGTAGTCTTTCAACTATACCAGTCTCCAAATCTGGACATGTGAAGTTTTCAATCTTACCACAACAAAATCTACTTGACTAATCACCACAGCTCCATTTACAAAGTGTGGGTCAAACATAACTAAACTCTCTTGAATGTAGAGTTACTGTCAAACTGCTAAACAACTTCAGTGGTCTAATACAAATCATATTAAAGTGAGATAAAACTGAGCATTATGGGTCCCCACAGGAATTAAGTACAGGATCAAACTCAACATGCCATGTCACTAAGCTGCATCACTGCTAGCTTGCAGTACAGTAAAGTGTGTGTGTGTGTGTGTGTGTATTAATCCTGTGTAGAAATCTTCCTATTAGATGTTTTATTTTGAACTTAATCCAACTCTACAGACATGTAAAATATAACATTACATAAACTAACTTCAGAGACAATCCAGTCTGTGTCCTGTAGAGGGGGGGGGGCACCTTAGCCATTCACTTTTATCTGGGTCAGCTGTACAGTTATCACTCTCATTTATACACTAACCCGCATGTCTTTAGATGGTGTGAGGAAGCCAGAGTAGGCAGTTGTGAGCATCTCTTACATTGTGTGACTTTGTTGCAGCAATGTTGTCCATTTCTAGAAGTCAGCAAATACTGTACTCTACATTGAGCGTTGTTATGTAACAGGAATGGCCAAGTCTAGGAAAGTATGTAAAACAAGCCATACTTGTTCACATGCTTTTTCAATTCTGCCCAAAAATTTTCTATTGATTGAGGTCAGGGCTTTGTGATGGACACTCCAGCACCTTAACTTTGCAATCCTTAAGCCATTTTGCCACAACTATGGAAGCCTGCTTGGTGTCACTGTCCTTTTGGAAAACCCATTCCTGTCCACACTTTCACTTCCTGGCTGATGTCTTGAGATGTTGCTTCAACACAGGGGTGCCCAATATGTCGATCACAAAGGTAGAGTTGGTAGATTGCGTGCCATTTAAAACAAATTTGATATTAGCCTATCATCCATCCTCCCTATGGCATTTGACACTTGACTGACGTGCAGGGCAGCCAGTCTGAGATCTTGTCTTTTCTGACGCACGAGTCACCAAGCATGTGCAGTCAACCGCAAAACTCCAGTGAGCTAACTACCTTGTCAGCCTTCCAATTTATTTCTACTAAGGAAAGGGTAAAAAATGAGTGGTGGAGCCGAATCAAGTAAGAAACCGAAAACTTACCAAATATGCGGAACGGGAGGAAGACTTTTTTGACAGTCATATTCAAAGTGTGTTTGCTTGATCTGCCAATCTACCATCGCTATTCTGAAGAAGGGAAATGGCACGTTTGGACTGTCACCCATTCATACACATATATACATGTATAGTATTTTTTTTGTGTGGGTAGGTCATTTTGACTTGGCCATTTGAAAAGTAGCTCACAAAGTGGAAAAGTGTGGGCACCCCTGCTTCAACATATCCACATAATCTTCTATTTTGTGAAATGCACCAGTCCCCCCAGCAAAGCAACCCTACAACATGATGCTGCCACCCCTGTCCTTCATAGTTGGGATGTGTTCATCAGATTGCGAGCCTCCCCCTTTGTCCTCCAGCCATAATGATGGTCATTATGGCCCCACAGTTAAATTTTTGTTTCATCAGATCAGAGGACACTTCTCCAAAAAGGCAGATCTTTGTCCCCATGTAGGGACTTCAACATTGACCGTAAAATATAATAAATACATTAAAAAAAATTTATGATTTGATTTGATTTATTCTTTCTCAATTAATTTGTTCTTATATGACTTATATTTTTCTTCCGCCTTCTTTGATCTGTCCTTTATGAATTCCTTATATAACACATTCTTTTTTTTACATGCATTCTGTAATCCCTTACTCATCCACGGTTTCCCACTGTAATTCCTTTTGTTTTTATACTGCTTACGAGGACAGTTCCTGTCATATACTTTCTTGAATATATTTAAAAATTGCTCATATGCTTTATCTAAGTCTTCTTCTCTGTAAACTGATTCCCAGTTTTGCCCCATAAAATCCTCTTTTAGCCTCCTTACAGCATGTTCATTCGTCACTCTCCTATAGAAAAGATTTGTTTTTGGCCTCTCTTTTCTATACTGGCCCTCATAAACCACAAATACTGGTAGGTGATCACTAATATCATTTATAAGTAATCCACTTGTCATTTTGCTGTCAATAACATTGGTAAGTATATTATCTATTAGTGTTGCATGCTGGGTTGTTACTCTACTTGGTTTTGTAATTTTTGGGTATAAACTGCATCTATATATTGTGTTAATAAACTCTTCAGTTCCTGTGTGCTTGTTAGGATTTAACAAATCTATATTGAAGTCACCACATATGAACATTAATTTATGACTTGTTGTCAAGTAATTTTCTTCCATCCAGTCATTAAATTTTTCTATGCTGGTTCCAGGTGCTCTATAAATACAGCTTACAACATTTTTCTTTTTTTCCACGAGTATTTCTACAGTCACACACTCCGGCAAATTATCCACCACCCTTGACATTTTCTCCACTTTCTTATAACAAAAGTTTTTATCTATGTACAAGGCCACACCACCTCCCATCTTATTCTCTCTGTTTGTGCATACCAAGTCATAGCCATCAAGGTCAAAATCCATTCCCCTTACATTATTCATCCAAGTTTCAGAAATAGCAATTATATTAAAAGAATGTGTAAGACTACTAAGATAATGTTTTATACTCTGAAAGTTTGCGTATAAACTTCTGCTATTAAAGTGAATTAATGATAATTTGTTTTCAGTCTTAACATTGCTGTTAAACTGCTCATCCGTGTAATACTTGCAGTTATTTTCAGAGTTCTTAAAAAAGTTTTTTTCAGGGTCAAAGTCATTGTCCGATTCATGATAATGTTGTTCAGTGTCTCCAATTGTGTTCAGTTCCAGATCCAATCCCTCAAAACCTATTAACCTCTGTAGCAAATCACTTGCCTCATTCCGTATGTGGGTCATACTTGTTGTTGGTTCCTGCTAATTGTTAGTTCCAACGCTCATCATTTATCTTTTACCTCACCTTATTTTGTTGTGTTGTTGTGTGTTGATGTAAAGCAGAAGTGGTGTAGATATGAATGTGTTGTGTGAAAGTCACAAACACGAGACAGTTCGCTCTCTTACCTGCTACTTTTGTCTCGTGTAACAAACCGAGTTTTGACCGGTGTGTGTGTTTGTAACATTTATCTCACCTGTCCACGATGGCTTCCAGTAAACTGACTAATGTTTAACTGAATGGCCATGACTCTTCAGAACATAATGGATAAAAGCATTTCCCCTGTGGCTATAGCCACCGAGTCTGAACACTATCAAACAGAATGAGTTCATGGCAAAGATGAATGTGAAAGTTGAGTGCAGTGAAATGAAGCATTAGTGCAGTGTTGCAACACTTCAAAGGACAATCACACAAGTCTCTACTTGTGGTAGTTTCAGCAGCTTCATGAATAGGCCTTCTCTCTCCTTCTCTCCGTTTCTTTTGCTTTCTCTTGCTTTTACATGCTCTCTCTCTCTCTCTCTCTCTCTCACACTCACACACACACACACACACATACACAAAACACAATGCTTCCTTCCCGTTGCTGTTCAGGTTCCAGCATACACCCTCCACTGAGATAAGCCCTTAACTTTCCCGATCATTTGTCTTCATAATTCTCTAACCATTAACTTTCTGCACTTAGGGCTGAACCTGGAAGGAAAGAGGATACATGTGCATAAAAACATCATAACGAGACTACAACCACGGCAGAAGAGCTGAGGAGAAGCACCAGTCCTTACAGGTCAGTTCCATTCAGATATAACACTTTAAAATGCTGCTTGTAAGAAAAGGTGTGGTCTATTTCTTGAGATCTGTTTTAATTTGTTTGTTCTCCATGTTATAGTGAAATGCAAAACAGCTGACAATGGGGACCACAGCATTGCTTTTACTTTGTCTTGTACCTGTATTCACATGTGCAACACAAGGTAGGTGAAAAGACCAAATGTAAACTCGTTTGGTAGAAATATTGTCATAAATGTGTTTCATACAAGAATCTTCATAACTTATCCAAATTAAATAGGAGGGAAAATGCAATAAAAAGAGCAGTGTGTAATATTCTTATGTCACATATATATAACTGTGTGATTATGTTGATAACTCTAACATACAAAAGAACCACAAAAAGCTTTTCAGTTCACAACCCTTATCTTTGTTTTACAGAGCGGCTGAGACTAAATGTGACTCCCAAGATTACTGCAGAGTATGGGAAACAGGTTGTCCTGCAATGCAGTGTGTCCTCCATGTCTCCAAATACACTAGCAATCAAACATATGGAATGGTCCCAAAACAAAACACCTTTATGTTCTGTGGACAGCGAAGGAAACGTTACTATACACAACAGAACCGCAAGTGACTTCAACTGCATCTATAAGAGCCAAGAGCTGTCTCTGATCTTTCGCAAAGTGCAGCCACTGGAGAGTGGAAAATCCACGCCCTACATGTGCAAACTGCGCTCCGACCAAGGAGTTCGACATGAATATTCAACAGTGGAGCTGGAAGGTCAGAGTCCACATTCTATTCTTATTTAAACAAACAGCAATATGGCTTAATAACTCATGTACACAGCTGCAATTTAGATACAAAGATCAAGAAGACTGGTCCGTGTCTCTTGAGTTTCCTTGGCTGCAGTAGAAACAATCATTCTGATTTTTTTACTTAAAGGCACTCTGTGCAGTTTACCTTTACAAAAAATGTACTTAAATTCAGTGTTATTTACAAAAACATCTTGTGACCAGTACAGACGTGCAAAACCGGCAGGAGCTTGAACTATGTGCGCACACATCCTGGTGTGCACATGACAGCAACATAAGTGATAGTTACTATTGCTTGTGACTGGTATAGATCTGACAATTGAAATAAGCAATAGTCTTGCATGCCAATTGAAGCATACCCATTGTTTTGTACATACCAAAAAATACATTTCAAAACTCTTCTCTGGTTTTCCCTTAGAGTGTTGTGGGCACATTGAAGGCATTCTGACGAGTCAGGGCCCTGCTTGCACCTTCAGCCATGTCTACCCAGACGGAGATGTGCACTGGTTTCACGGCTCCCACAGTTTCTTAGGTGGATCTCTGGGACACAACACTACTAAACGTGTGGAGGAGGGGGGCTGGCTGACAATCCATAGCTCCCTGGAGCGGGACAGCTCAGATGAGCCCTACAACTGTTCCTTGAAGAGCACTGTATCTGGTACATACATTGCGAGTACTATGATTCCCAAATCTGAATTTTTACACAGCAGTGCAGTCAGATCACTGAGACCTGTGAGGACAGCTGTGGGTATTTCAATCTTACTTGCTGTCACACTGAAATAATGTATTGTCCTATGTAATTTCATGATATGAACTGTTATAAGCTATCAGGGTAACGTTGATTTGGAGTAATGAGCTACAGCGAGGTACTTAGGTTTCTGTTTTTGTTTTTTTTAATCCCAGACTTCTCAGTTAATGAGTCATCTTGCATGGTTCAAAGGTTTATTATCATTCCTTTTAGCTCTTGCTGAACAAGCAAATTATAGACTGTTGAGAGGTGTAAACAAGGTAGCCAATCATTACACTGTATAAGATACCTTTGTTGTTGTGATTCGATTGAGAGTTATGGATGAGGGAGCAGGATGTATTGGTTCAATTTAATCGTGATCTACAAAATTTCTCCCACAAATTTTTTGTAGCATGCCATATATGTATTTTGTACTTGAGATGACTTTAAAATAACTCTTCATTGGTGTGTTCACCATACACCTATGGCCCAGATGTCTATGTGTGACGACTCTTGAACTGAATGTAGACCTTAAAAGATGGGCTCTACTGTGAATTTCCTTCACAAACACTGTAGTCTTTGTGGGCGAAATATCAAACACCTGGACCAGTCATGTACCAACTGGTTTGTGAGTGGATACTGCCCTCTGGTGATTGACCTAAATCAAAATGTTTTCATTTAGTGGTATGCAGACAGCGTTGATTTTACCTTCTAAGGTTTTTGTAAAGTGCCAGTACAATGGAGATAAATGGTTTAGGATGTTACAGAATTTAAAACCACTTCCACAGGGACTATTTTTCTGTAGAAACCAGCTCCAATGAAAACCGTGGGATGGATTATCTACAGCGATGAGGAAATATCACTGTACAATGCTCTGAGCAGCACATGTGAAATTCCATTTATCTCAGTCTTATAGGCGTGGCTGCAGAAATTTCAGAGACCTGTGCAACTAAGACCAAAACTTTCTGTATGGCAGCATGCCACATAAGTGAGAAAATATCTTTCAGTGATTTTGGTAAACCAACCCTTTATGCTGGACATATTACAGGAGTATCTGTGAACATGCAGTGACAGATCATGTAAACAAAATCAAAGTTAGGTACAAAAGTGTATTATTTTATGTCTTTTCATTTGAAATTTAGCAGTGTTCTTGGCACAACAGACAAGAAGACAGATCATTTCTCCTGTTTCCTTCAACTTTACCTCTGTCTTTCATTAGTCTAGTTTTTGCAGATATGCTGTAGCTCAGCAGGGCAAACCCAGCTCCAGGGCTAAATCTCAGTGCACCCTCCTCAGAAAGGGTATTTGAGAGGCTTTTCAAGTCAGAATGACCGTGCTAATGTGCAGTCACCAAGCTGACACCATGCAGGGACAGGTTGAGCTTTCAGCAAGATGATGCTACAGCTGAGAGCTTACTGGATAAATGAACACAAGGACACCTTGACCATTCCAGCACACATGGATACAACCAGACACAGATCTCATGCTCTCACTCTCTCTTTTTACACTGACGTACATTCATTTCCCGGAGACCTACCCTAACCTTAACACAGATTCTCTCTCTCTCTCTCTCACACACACACACACACACACACACACCTACCTCTATATTTATGAGGATACTCACTGGCATAATCCATTCCCTAGCTCTTTACCATAACCTTAACCATCAGAATTAAATGCCTAACCATACACCTTCACCTAGCCTAAACCTAATTCTAACCTGAACCCTAAAACTAAGTCTTAATCCTCAAAAAGATGTTTCAGAAAGCGAGGACCTGCCAAAATGTCCTCACTTTCCAAAAATGTCCTTGCTCTGTAGAAAAAATAACTTTTTAGGTCTTCACTATATAGCAACACACACACACACACACTTGACGGTGCGGCAAGAACACAATACATATTCAGAGCTGGGGAGAACATTTGCATCGTCATCTTTAATGTGTTGTAGGTGGAATAATGATCTCTCAAAAGCATTAAGAAATATTGCAACTGGCATTTTTTTAAAGTATTTATACTAAAAAAAAAAAAAAAAAAACGAAAAAAAAAAAAAAGATGCACTCCACTTATGTTTACCAAACACTGTAAACTGTATGGTAGTGCAAAAACTAAGCAGTTTAGTTAAATAGCCACAATATCTACAGCAGTGCTTTCACAAAGTGAGTGATGTGTAATGTCTCATTGCTGTTGGGTGCAGAACAATGATATCTGGTCATAGATGCAACATGGTTTCAAATGAGTTTATAAGTTGTATTACACAGTCAAAATGAAACTAATATTAATTCTTGACCAGCAGTGGTTAAGTGTACTTTAGCTTATAGACCAAATATTCCTGTAAATAAATCTATTCTTCTACAAGTTAGAGTATCTGGGTTCTCAGTTATTATTAAAGCAAACTGCTGTTTCTACACTTGTAACATCCACTTCAAACCACAAGAGGGACCACGGTACACACTTATTTATCCAAAAGGACAACTGTTAATTTCAAAGAGCTTTTTATATTGATGCACCGCTGCAAGATTCAAAAAGGACCAAGCTACTCCTAAGTGAACTCAGACAAGCTTTCCACACATTTCATCATGAATAAATTGAGCATTAGAAGTGCTGTAGGTTTCCTACAATAAAGTGTATAGTCAGGCTCAGAAAAGAAATAAAAAAAGGCTGACAGTTATTTGTAGATCTGTCACTGCAAAAGTTACCTTTGCATAATTATGAGGAAAATAACTTCAGCTATGTTTTACCTGACCAGCAGGTCTGATACATCAAACACGGGGCCTTGTTCCTGCTATTTTGTTATACATAAGCTCTAAATGTTTGAAGGTTGCTTCTCATACGAGCACTTAATCTAGGCAAAGTGCACAGTGATGTGTGTGTGTGTGTGTGTGTGTGTGTGTGTGTGTGTGTGTGTTCACTGAGGTGTGAGTGTATGCAGGGGCTTCAGGTCAAGTCCCCATGGTAACTGAGAGGTGTCTCACTGTGTGCCCCTAGCTCCAACTGAGTGTCTGTGTGTGCGTGTGCCTGGCCAATTATCCCTGTGGTCTGTTATCTCCCCTTGGAAAGATTTACATTATCACCCTGACAGCCTGGTGGTCACCAGCCAGGTGATCAGCCACAGCTGGTTATAACCTACAGTACATAAGAGGAGGGGTGGGGGTGATCAAAACAGACATGATAAGCAACTGACTAACAGCGAGGCAAGATGGATAGATGGGACAGAGATGGGGGAGGACGCAAGGATGGAAACAGGAGATAAAAGCCAGATTCTGTCAACAAACAGCAGAGATTTATGTAAGGTACTGATGGCCCTGTTAGCCAACATTACGGTAAGTGGGAGGTGGCCTGGGACTAATTGACCCAAGGGCTCACGAGGATCAGTGTTTTCAATGACAGCTGCTGTACCTTTTCTCTAAACATCTGTATGTCCACCCCCCCAATACACATCTAATAAATTTAGCTTATGCATAATCTGCTCACACACAGACACGCGCACACACTTTATGCATATTTCATAAAATGCACCAATATGTTTGAACCCAGCACATTTGTTTATAGTACTGTATGTTTCCATTCAGCCATTAAGAATGAAGTCAGTTTGGTAACTTAAGTAAAAACAACACCATGCAATGGAAAAAAAAAAAAAATCTATTACAAGAAAATATTCAACAATTGAAATTTGTCTTTAAAACAAAGCATTTATAAATATTGGCAACAAAATATATTTAGAGGACCTAAAGTAAAAGTATTATATTTAATTAAATTGATCATGACGCATGAATATAAAACATACTTTAAAGCAGCTTTAATCAACAGAACAATGTGAAAACAGTGTGTTAAAGTGAAAGGCATCACTCAAGTATAATCTAAAACAATATTTTATACATTTAAAACAGCTCTTAAATAAATGTCTGGTTAAAGTATAATATGGTGCAGCAAAGTAGCTCAAAATGGAAATCCTGAAGTACCCAAGCACAATTTATTCAAGTAAAAATACTTGGTTACTTGCCACCACTGAAAGTATCAATATGATTTTACTCTTCCAAACTGCTCCAGTAACATAGTATGTGCTTATAGGTCAAAGCTACACGAGACAGTGGGGCTCAAACACTAAATGCACTATAATGTCTGTATACATTCTGTGAATATATTGTTGACCTGTCCACCCTGGACAGGTCGCCAGTCTGTCACACCTGGAGACAGACAATCACACACACTCCTAGAATCACCAATCAACCAATGTCTTTGGACTATGGCAGGAAGTCAGAGTATCCGGAGAGAACACACATAGGCACAGGGAGAACATGCAAACTCTGCGCTCGGGCAGGACTCGAACCCAGAACCTTCATGCTGTGAGGGAACAGTGCTAACCACCGTGGACCTCTCTCTAGAAATGGTTGTAATCAACACATTTCATTTGTGCATATATAGTACAAACCACTTATGAGTCTCAAAATTGACTGAGTGCCCTCACCCTCATATGGAATGGGTCTGTATTTCTGGGATCCATGAAATATGCACAGCTTATTGAACCATCCTGAGTAAGACAGAATCAATTTCTCAATATATTTCTGGGTAATTGCATATAAATGTAGGAAACTATGTAAACAAACTGTCAATGTTAATAACAGTCCAATGTCTGAGGAGCTGTGAGAGAACAGACTAGGCCAGACTTAAGATTAAGTCTTTTTAAATCTTACATGGATCAATAAAGCTTCATCTACCACATTTACATAACACATCATCTCTGAAGGACAGCGCTACCCCCCCAGGTCCTACATCGGTGTGCTATTTATTATCTCACATCAAAAGGTCATCCGTCTCTTCTTCAATTTTTCAGCTCCAAGGATAAAGAGGGGAACTCTTGGCTTTTGTGCTCATTCTCAGTGCTTCTGTTCAATCTACAAGTCTGACTGCCCACCATCCACTCTCTGCACCCGCAGAGGGTTCAGTGCACTCGAGAGCAAAACCAGAGATCATCATCCAGATGCTCCTTACTGCTTGGAGACCCCCACACGGTTACACTGTGTCCCACTGCTTTAGTTTCCTGCCACTGTTTGTCTGTGTGGTTATGTAACCTGGGTATTTATCCAACCTCTGGCTGCCCCACTACACTTTTTCACTTAGTAATTGCTTGAAAGACGTGTGAGCTTGCCTATAGATTTTTTGCATTAATAAAGGAGATTGTCATATCCATTGGGTCCAAGTGTTGTATATTGTATTTTTCCAAGTACAGAAGACTATGCAGTGACCAAGGACATGGGAGAATCAAATATGCTTCCCAGTAAGGACAACTCACTCATTTCCCACTGGTAGATGACTCATTGCTACTGATACTAGCGTGCAAAAGGCAGTTTAAAAAGTCAGAAGCAGGCTGTGGTTTTTTTCTCCACTGTATCTCTGATCAAATACAATTCCAAATTATGGTCAAAAAGGACAATTACCTCATTATCCACTGCTAAATGACTCACTGCTCCTGTACTGACAATAGCATGCAAAAGGCAGTTTAAAAAGTCAGAACCAGGCTGTGGTTTTTTTTCCCCCACTGTATCTCTGATCAAATACAGTTCCAAATTATGGTCAAAAAGGACAATTACCTCATTATCCACTGCTAAATGACTCACTGCTCCTGTACTGACAATAGCATGCAAAAGGCAGTTTAAAAAGTCAGAAGCAGGCTGTGATTCTTTTCCCATTGTATCTCCGTTTACATTTCCAGGATAATCACCACCTTTTTAAACACGTTTGTGTACATTTTATTTGCAATTAGTGTTATGCTCTGATCTGATCATTAAACCACCTAACCAATGAAAGAAAAAGGTTATGACAAGAGACAAATGCCATCTGGGTTGATCTTTCACAGGTTGTAATTTCTTTTCACCTGTAATAAAAAGGGTCTTTTTTTATAATGAGTCATCCTTATTCAAAGCTTTAATTGGATATTCTGACACAGCTGGTGAATTGACACAGCCATCACAAAAAGAGAAAAAAAACTGTAGCAAGATACATCACCAATGATGCTGAGGAAAATGAAGTTAGTACTGATTCATAGCTTCAATATTAGGTGTTATTTTTCTAATCTATCATTCATTCATTCTTCATTTCAGCATTGACTCCTGATATGTGGCCTTTTATGCCAAGTGAACAGCTGGTTGAATTAGATAAAAGAGCAAAATTAATTGATTTTAAAGAATCAATTTAAAAAAATGATTTCTTCTCAAGCATCCAGCTGAATTGCTTTCCCATTTCGACAGTGTCTTATAAGTCGCACTTCAGAGGAAGAAACTACCAAACGTGTTAATTATATGTGATCGTAAACAGTGATGCTGCAGGTGATGATAAACATCACAGTCAGAAAAGCCCCCTTTGGTCCCTGTGAAATAAAACAGCATATCATCAGCCAAACCGGGTCAGTGGGATGAGAGCAAAGACAACACAAGTCAAGAACACGCATGCATTTGTGCACGGCCCATACACATATACAAGCAGATCCAGAGACAAGACAGATACACATTCAACAGGCATATACACAAGTCACCCTCATAAATAAATACATATTTCACACCTTCATGTGAGGCCATGCTTCCTGCTACCTTTACTTCAGAAAACAATCTGAGTACATCTTCCAGCACTGCTGATTTATGAAGTGGACTTCACACACACGCATCCAGCCTGTTTGAGATATGCAACTGAACAGGTCACTGAACAGAAAGACGCTTTTGGATGGCATTCACATCCTGTGACAGTTCATAAGTCACAGCTTTACATTCAATACCCATACACAAGGTTAACAAGACAAACACAGCATGTCTCCAGCCAAACTTACTC